TTTGTGTTGTGGCTGATCAGCGTATCCAGTGCAGGCACTGTTTTGGGTTTAGTAAAAGAATAAAACTACTCATAAAGCTGAAGTGGATATCGGCATTTTCTACAGGTACTTCTATTTAGCTCTAATTCAATATTTGACAAAACAAAAAAATTTTGGACGAAAAAAATATAGATGCTATAAGCCAATTTTTATATTAAATTGGGGCTCTCAAATCATCTTGATGCCATCATCACACAGTTCGGAGATAAAGAGATAATAGCAAGATAAATTTGTAGTCTCAGGTTTCAGTGCTGTGCGCCTGAATAGATATTGTGGTTGATAGCAGAAGATGAACTCTAGCTACCGTTACATTTTTGTAATGCTTGCCCAACCCAACCTGCTATACATAAAAAAGAAAAAACTTGTTCCTTCACCCACCTGCGCATGGGCGCGGCTCTCTGAGAATGTGCTTCAGCAGCCAGTTCACTCCTTCATTCAGGAGAAGCCCTCCAAAGAAGGAAATCTAGTTTTATGAGAAAAAAAAAAAGGCAATGCATGAGTGTTTGCATACTTCTGCCCTGTCTGACAATGCTGATCAAGTTCCTGTGAGACAATTGACAGTTTCACAGGCGGACTTTTAAATATTGTGCCCTTTCTAAAACCACAACTTTGTCAAGTACATGTGCAGGACTCACCGTGTGCAGTTCCCGTTTAAACACTATGAGTGTAACAAAGCCCACAAGAATTGCTATAGGGATGAGGCTGATGTAGGCCAGCAAGTGTCCCGTCAGATCATCTAAAACACATTAACAGATTACAGATATTAAATGGCACATAAACAGTAGAAGTCACTGGTGGGAGTGACAAGTTGTGTCTCTCAGTGAACCCGGATGACCAAGACACTGTGGCTACAAGAAGGAAGCTGGTGTGGTTAAGTAGCTAAGCCATATTTAAACTAACAGAGCACATTATTGGGTGCAACTCAAACATATACGTGCAATGAGATTCAGTCACACTGATCAGTATCAGGCCATGGGACTAGCTAGTATGTTAGCTACAATGCTGGCTACAATGCTTTACGAGGAGTACCAATTTATTTCTACTGTAGTCATACCTTTTTTTTCCCTATTTTTTAAATACTTGAGTTTGGCCAAATAACCGTTACAGTACACGGCGTATTAGCAGAGAGCGGAAAGAAAATACCGAAGACGATATAAAGACAGCTAGCAGGCTAACTAGCCTTCATTGTGGACATTGTGACAAACTGCGCATGCGACGCTGTCTCACAATTTTGCAGTCCGGGTTACATTTCCCGCTGTGTTGCTGGTTCTACAGCAGCTCACAATTTGGCAGCAACACCGACGGCCGTGTTCATTCAGCAGCAACAAAACACGCACTGCCCGAAAAATTACACAACAGCCAGTGTCGACAGAGCTTCAGCAGACACATAAAGACGCTAAGTGTACGTACCCTCGGGGAACTCTACGTGTGTCAAAGATATGGACCGCCATCGAGGTGGTGCCGAGCACTGCTCTTCCAACGCCATCTTACCCGGACACAACCGGGCAGTCCCACAGTGAAACGCCCAGACACGTGTCCAGCCAATGGAGAGCGGAGCTCAGCACTTAAACGTCCCCTGACAGTGGAAGCGACGACCAATCCCAGCTGCAATCTGCAGACGAGTTATTTTGTCCATAGAGAAGAATTATTGAATGAACAAAAAAAAAAAAAAAAAAAAAACGGGCCACCTACATTAAAATACCAAAAATGCACTCATTCAAAAACATGTATGATCTACAATTGTCTTCATTAATTTAAGGCATGAACCCAGACTATTGCTTACCCCTTGAATAACTGACCTAATTTGCATCTGAGATTTCTTTGTGTGTTAAAATATGAATTAATTTGAGCCAAATTGTCAAATGTCAAAACATAATTTAGTACTCTTAAGCTAACCTTTACAAAGGCTAAGGTATAAATTATCCTTACAGGAGACTTGATAAACTGTGACTAATACTGTATAGATCCATTATAAGCCACTTAAAAAGTGGAACTGTCGTTCAAAACTAATTATAGGGATACACTGACTTTAAGATTTTAAGGTAAACACAAATGCAAGTGGTCTGTGGATTTCTTTGTTTTTTAATATTTACTTGTGTTATTTTACTTGTTTTATTTGGAATAGATGCCTACTCCACCTTGTGTCCAAGAAGCAGATTATTTAATTTTTTTTTTTTTAAACTGAAGTGTTTTGAAATATTTGTACATTTAGCCTTCACACAATACATAAATGTCATCTTAATTGCTAATAGGTGAATGGCAGGGACAATATGGGGGTATCAGTGCATTTTGAATTCATTTCATTACTGATTAAGATTAATTTGAGCCTTTTCACTGTCCTACACTTTACTGACCCGCCATCATTCCTGAACAATGTTCAAAGCCAGAAGGGTTTATTTGAGAATATTAAACAACTAAACATGGGCGTAGCTTTCAGGTCCAAAAGAGTGAAGCCAATGCTGATTTACTTTTGACTGTATTCTATTTCATGACCACAAGGGGCAAATCGCTGTGGTTGCAAAAAGACTTTAGTCCTACAGAAGTCTGTGGGAAAACTGCCTTCAGCTCTAACCCCTGTAAACACTTTCCTGATGATTTTATGGGCTCAGTCATTCCTTTTGTGTCATATTTGTGTACAAATTTTTATCATTCTAAATGTCAGGAAGCCAGAAGCTCAGTGACTTATGCCTTGGAATTAACCACCTGTTAGCCAATGAAGAGTGCAGCGGTCTTTACAAACCAGTCAGTGGTGCCAAGGTGCTGGGTAATGCTACTCCAGCACATAGGTTCCCACATTAACTATAGATGACCAGTCTCTTTCAGGTTATACGTGTGCAATATACAATAATGCCACACTTGCAGGGGACGTGCTCATGCCAAGGTTATTATAGTTAAATAAAGCTGAACTGAAAATGAAAACTAGATGTGAAAAATATTTTCCTTAACTAAAATAAAAACTAGATTTTCAAGAAAAGCTAAAAGTCACTGAAACAATTTTGCAAACAAACTAAAATAAAAATACTAATACAGAGGGAAAATTTGTTATTATAATTGAGCTGATGACGCTTTAATAGACATGTTTATTGAAATTTTGGATGTCTAAAAGACTGAGAGTCAACTGCTTTCAAAAAAGTTCAGTTTTTTATTGCAATGATACTTCTACTGAGAATTCTAAATCTTGCATCTGGCATATGCGCTCTATACAAAAGGGACTAAACCTAACACTGACACTAATAAAAACAAAAGTAAAACTAAACATTGTCAAGCAATGAAAAGTAAAAACTAAACTAAACTGAATTAAAAACAAAAATACAAAACAAAATATAAACTAATTAGTAAATCCAAAACTATAAAACTCTGGCACAACCTGCTTTGTGTTTATTCTTTATAATATCTATGGTTAAATACTATAACTTGGAGCTATACAGTTTGGGGGTTTTTTGGGTTTTTTTTTTAGGTATTTTGTACACCTTATTTATATCAAAGACATTATATAAAATAATCAGAACACCTGTATATTATACCACAATTTGCCAGTCAGTTTAACATAATTTAAATAAACTAAATTGCTTATAAAGTTCACACACAAACATCAATACTTCTCTAAAAGAGCTTTAACAATTAGTGATCATATAACCTTTGTCTGGCTGTTGTATTAGCCAAATGTATTTACAAACTCCGCTTGGTGTACCTCACCCATCCACAGGCTTAACTCTCATTTTATACAGGGGAGGGAAACAAATATTGCACAGAGGTTAATATCAAGATCATGGCTTATCTCTTAAAATTAGATGATTCGAATATTATAATTTTATTTTAAATTGGTTGCATGAGTTCATATTGGAAACAGTCTTAACTTTGAATACAAACTTTCAGGCTGTAAGACAAACCTGTTCATAAATGCAGTGTAAGGAATTTTTGATTCCCATTTATGTCCTTTTTTTCAAAAATTAAAATGTCTTTCTTTTGGGATAAAAAGTAACAAGTTATCCAGACTTGTTATACAAAGTTATTGTAAGATTTGTGCTCCTCTACTGGCTTACTATTGAATCACTACAGAGCTTTTACCTCTTGTGTGTCTCCATCTCTTTCTTATTACTTTAAATAGTTTATAAGGAGCAGACAATTGATGAAACAAAAACATTTTTGACTTTAAACTATGCCTGTATCCACCTGAGCAGTGCTATAATCGAGCTAAATGTTAGTAGATTTGTAATTTTGTGGTAGGTGCTAGTGTGTTAGCATGCTAGCTAATAATCGCTGCACGTGAGGCCGATAAAAAAAAAAAAACATCAGTCTTGAAGGTTTTTAAAGGGTGGTAGCACCACGGACGCATATATCATCTTTTGACAAAATAAAGATAAAGTATGTAAGAACTGTACTTTTTAAATTCAGGACTTTTATAGGGGACAGTTACATGATGACAATAATCACCTGAACAATTGGGAATACTGATGATATTTGCCCTCTTTTGATGCTACTACTACTAATAATAATAATGATTTAAAATTCCTGACCAATATTTTAGTCACATTAGATTTTTTTCCTCTTATTATCTACTATGATCAGTTACTTCCTTAAAAACCATCCATCCATCCATTCGCTGCCGCTTATCCTTTTCAGGGTCGCGGGGGGCACTGGAGCCTATCCCAGCTGTCATAGGGCGAGAGGCAGGGTACACCCTGGACAGGTCGCCAGTCTGTCGCAGGGCCAACACAAAGGGACAGACAACCATTCGCACTCACATTCACACCTAGTGACAATTTGGATTTTCCAATTAACCTATCCCCACAAGCTGCATGTCTTTGAACGGTGGGAGGAAGCCGGAGTACCCGGAGGGAACCCACGCAAAATTAAGCCAGTGTTTTTTGATATACCTATTCTAACAATATTCTTTTAAAACTCTCAATTAGAATGTTTGACTTTTGTGAAGTAAAATAAATAACTCAATATCATTTAACAAAAAAAAAATAACATTTAATATGGAAAATTAAAATCAGATCAGAGTTTCTGCTGTTGATTAACAATAGAAAAGACAAAAGGCATGAGTAGGACACTTGAAACATAGCAGTGACTTTCAAAACAAAACCAATCTTTCTCTACAGTTTGGCCACCTGAAATTCTTGCATCAAATATATGTTAAGAAGACTCCATGCATAATTTTTTTTTAAATTAGAAATTCCTAAATATTGGTAATCTGGGATCTTTAAAACTTACAGCTAAAGGCTAAGCCTGGGTCTACAAGTAGCATTATACACTGATGTATTTCTGAGAAAAAGCAGACCAATCTATGGACACAAAACTAAACAGAAGCATTTTTCCATAACAGCATTTACCTGCATGACAAATATTGGTATAAAAATTACTAGAACAGTTAAAAGGGGAGAATTTGAACAAGATGGACACATAAACAAAACCTAGATAGCAGATTAACAATAATCATATGTATAGTGATCTGGGAAAGATAATTTCTCTACTGTACAACATTTATGTTCTTTATTATCAATAATATGTCAGTCCTTTGATGCAACAAATAAATCAACAGCTATTAAAAAGGGTTATTGGACATTCTTGGATTTTTCTGCTAAAGTGCAAAATGCTCATCTGTCACAATGAGGAACCAAATGATTTTCTGTAAAAGCTCAATTTACAGTTTTGGTTCATGTTAGACAGAAACACCAAATAACCCTGCAAATACTGAATCAAAATAAAAGAAAATAAAAGCTCTTAATTTAAGAGACTTTGATTTGGATTATCACTGCCACAAGAAATACACTTGTATGGACTCATAAGATAAACTACTGACACTAAAACGGCCCAAAGTATTCAGAGAGATTTTTTTTCCTCCCCTCAGACAACTGTGCTTCTCTGTAAATAAATAATCTTTAAATTCAATTTCATGAAGACGATTTACTTTGTATATATCTGCGTATCAGAAATGCGCCTGTGCAGTAGTGGTGTAATCGATGCGATAATTGCGGAATAAATGCCATTCAATAACAAGTTCACAGTACTTTGGATAGCAAAGCAGACTCAGACGTTATCATCAGTGCACTTATGTGGATGACAGTCCAGCTGTACAATGCCCTGTTCTTCATTACAGATCTTTATAACATCAGAAATATCCTTCCTAAGAATACTAAATGGCAATGTTTCATTTAGAGGTTGTGTCACTGTTTACATATATTTTTTCTAAGCAAGATCTCCACAGGTGTCCACCTTCTTACACAAAAAAACAACAACAACAACCCCACAGCGAGCTTTTATCACTGAAAGTATAGATGTAAACAAAAACATAAATGATTCAGTAGGTGTGCTTTTAAGGTGTGATAGTGAGTGAGTGAGCAAACATGCACAGTGCTCGGGCCCCAACACTGGCTCACCTACTTTAAAGCCATTTTTAATGTTAACCAGTGAAACTGCCACGGTAAGACTCTACTGTTCATGTCGTGTGAACAACACAGCGCTACTGGTACCATTAGTAACACGTACTTTCCCTGCTAGGACAAGTGAGTAGTATCCACTTTGTTAAAGGCTTATTTGGTACAACTTGCGACTGGACACTTTTAGACCCAAATGTTTTTAAGCAATTAAACTGGGAGAATGTCTCAGATTCAGACTTTAGAATTAGCAAATACAAATCAAGAGAACTCAAGTCTTACATTGTTTATTGTCTTTAGCGTCTTCTAAACTGTTGTGTTTTATGTAATAGTTTTCAGACAGGTATTTCACATCTCACACTCTTATTTGTGTTTGGAGTGTTGTTTTGTTTTTTGTTGCCATTTAAATCTGAATATTTGCGTTGTAATTTATAAAAAGTAAACCTTCATAATCCCTTAGCACATGCTTCTTCAAACACTCATGTTTACTGCAACTGTGAACACTGGTGTCAAACATGAGTAACATGCCAGAACCCTACACTATTTCAAGTCTTTTTGCATTCAACAGACTTTCTTGGTTTCACCACATTTTAAGCTCGATTGACCAAAAGTGGAGAAAATAAATAAAGACATTAAAGAGGATTTAAGGACAAGTGTGGAGACAAACCCACCCCATTTTGCATTAACCAGCAGCACTAATAATCAGTTGGCCAAAGTGCTCAAGAACTCTCAGGAAATCTCATCATTTTAAACATTTAGCTTACTTAATTTAAAATAAAACACAAAATGCTGTTTCCCACACCATGATTCCCCTTAATTCCAGAGGTGATGAAGAGTTCTCTGAAAGCCCTCAATCCATGTGGAGTAAAAGTGTAGCGGGCACAGTTTTCATGGGTTGGTAATGCTTCCCGTCAGGCCTGTTTTCAAGAACTCACCCAACAAGGCAAAGACAAGTCCTTGCACGTCTGTCATTACATGACTGCAGTCTGTATTCTCGATGACTACACAGCAGCAACATAAAAGAGGTGGGATCGTTACACTCACTCCTTAGTACAAGGACCAATGACTTTGTAGAACTAGTGAAAGTATGTCCTACTTAAGCCGTCATGTTTAATGAAACACGGATGAATAAATGAATAATGCTGGTTCTCAGTGTATCACAGGAGGATGATTCTTTCCAGTCTTAATATCGACACACTGTTCAGCTATGACTTCTTGCTGTTCCCAACTCATCAGCCTCTTTACTGTTGGCTGGTACAAGGCCCAGTGAAGCTCTTTGTTACCCTACTCCTCCTAGTTGGTCCCTGAAGAGCCCTGTTGGTCACTGGGCAGGGCACCGTTGATCTCAAGAAGGCTATCGATTCCCAGATACCCAAGTAAAATATCACTTCGGCGGTGAGAAAGGTTCAGGATGTCCTCGGCCAAACACTGTGGAGAGGTGAAGCGGACCTTGTCGTGGTCAAACATATCCTTAAGGTACTGCACGATTTGTTGCTGCAGGTGAAAGGAGAGAAAACAAAATGAAAAGATGGTATGATAATGTGTGTGTTGTTAAGCCACGTGAAGACAACTTTATGTGGCTTAGTTAGCTCTGAGCCACATGAATGCAAGTTCCCCCATCATTGTTACTGCAGCTACTACTACTTTGACTGTAAAGGCTCTTGCATGTAATGATGTCTGTGGCTCAGGAGCTGCTACTTAAATCTAAAAAATATTGAAATTAGGTTTAGTACAAACTGTATATAAATGTGCTCTAACAAAGCAGCAGGCAAAGAACCTTTAGAGTTGCATTAAAGGAAATGTAGGTTTAAGAGTTTCACTCTGACTCTTTTCTTCCAACACTGCACTTCTATAAAATTTTATAACCCGATTAAAGAAAGTATCTCGCAGCATCTTGCATCCTCTGCTGTACATCTCACTATAAAATTGTATAAATTATACATTTAGTGTCATGTGCTGTAAGAATTGTAGAGTTGTACATTAAGCTAGTGGTTTTCCTGCACAGAGGATAGTGTCTGCTTGCACTGAAATATTTTTAAACCATATACTCTGTATGGCCTCACCTTAAAAATTGTGCACACTTCACTCAGGTGCTGCCGGGGTCCTAAAAAGCCAAAAGCTAAAACTGGGCTTACATGCTCAGATATGGCATAGAAGTGGGAGATAAATCCATCAGGAACCTGGAGAGAGCAGAAGAACAAGCTATCAGAATAAACAAATTTTTTTAGGTTTAAATAAAGCCGTTAAAAAGTATTATTTTTCTAAAACTAGTATAAACTCACCATAAGAAGACGCCTTTTGGCTTTTAGGACGGACCAGCAAGCAGTCGCCAAAGCCTGCCAGAAAATTAAAAACTATTATTAGAGAAACCGTTATAAGCATGTTGGTGGAATATGAAGTAAGTGTCTGTGCTGATGCATGTGCATCATATTAACCGTTTCTTTAAAGCTGTCAGAGAGCCAGCGATTCCTGAGCACAGCCACCACAGAGGCAGGAGGACTCTCCAGGTCTTCGAATGCATCCATCAGGATGAAGTCCAACACTATGTCGAAAAAGTTCATACAAACCACCTGCAATGTTCAGGAAATGTGGACCATGAGGAATGGTGAAAGCATTATTTATTTATTTTTAGCAGCAGTAATGTTTTGAACTGCTGTGGCATCAGCATACCTGACTTGGAACACATAAAGGACTAGATAGTGTTGTGCAACTGTTGTACAAGAAAAAAAACTTCTGTATTTTTTTCTTATCTACTGTGGTGACATGGAGGTTTGTAAGAGTGGGCTCCTGGTCGGTCTGTTTCAGATATACACACACCCAAGCATGTGTGAACATGTCCTATGGATAGTTTGAAGCTATACTACTGATGAACAGCTGGTGGCAGCAATGTGCAACATATTAAAATTATGTACATCTGACTCAAAGAGCTCAAAGAGCTGAGCACACTGTCATGTGTGCTGGTCATGAGTGGGTTATATCTGTCACTGAGAAACTAAAAAAAATTAAGCAATCGGTCCCTTTAAATATTTTCACTAAAAAACCAAAAAGCAACAAACAAACAAAAAATAAATACAAATGTTAACTGATGTTTGCAATTAATAGCTACTGATTGTATTCACTTGTCACATTCATGCTTACTGTAAACACACATACACTATCACATTGATGTGATGACTTGAATAACAGCATGATTACTCACTCCTCGACCCTCCAGCTCCATCTTAGTGATGGGCCACGTTTCCTCTCTCTGAGTGTACAGCAGCATGTCTTCATAGCTTTCTAGAAAAGCTTTGGGGCTCTGAGATGAAGCAAAAGATCAAATGAGATCAATTAAAATAAATAATTACAGTTCTTTAAAATTGTCCAAAAGGACATTCATAACTGAGGATCCAGTGAGGAGTATTTTACTTTGTTCGCCTTTATCATTAAACCAACAATCATTTGCTTTCCGGTCTCCATGAAAAACGTACGATGAGTTTCATCTAACAATAGGATCTGGAAAAGAAAAGCATCACTGGTTTAATTTCTGTAGTAATTTGGTTTTAAACATGTGTATACGTATGAAGTGTGGGTTTGCTGAAACCAACCTGGAATGCTTGTCTCACACAGTGAAGCTTGGCAAGGAAGTCTTGGTCACTATAACATTCAAGTAGTTCAGTCCTGGTAAACACAGAAAGATTTATTTAAGTCAACAAAGGCTCATGCTTCTCTTGGCTGCTGTGTATTGGAGTATAAGATGTTTTGTTTTTGTTTTTTAGCACCACTATTACCTTTTGTTAAAATGTGCATTTTCACATCCAAAAAGTAACACCAGCATTAATTTGGAGTCTAAAAAAAAAATTCACTTTTTGCTCAGTTTTGGTCTCCACCAGTTTAACTGTTAAAGGCTTTTTGATGTTTGACAATTAAACTGCGTTTCTCAGTAGCTTTAGTTGAAAGTCTATGAGGGACCACAGACAGTGAGTCATATGGCATTATCTACAGTAATATATACTATTTTTATAAAAGTATTTGTCAGTGCATCTTTAAGTATACAAATAAAAATGCTTCACATAACAGTTACCTCAGGGTCCTATAGGCCACTTTGTCTTCATGGACCAGAGACAGGGCTTCTTCATAAAGGGCTGCTGGCTGATAGACCTCCCCTAGAGACATGGGATCTAACAGCTGCACATAAACACAAATACCTCAGTGCACAGCCTGTGTGTGTGTGTGTGTGTGTGTGTGTGTGTGTGTGTGTGTGTGTGTGTGTGTGTGTGTGTGTGTGTGTGTGTGTGTGTGTGTGTGTGTGTGTGTGTGTGTGTGTGTACACAGATGAATACACGAATACACAAGTGAGGGGGAGGTTTTTTGAAGGGTCTGGAGTGTACTGTGTTTTCTGACGGTCGGTCTTTAGAGGGCAGGGGAAAGAAGCTCACCTCCGCAGCCGAAAAGAAGGAGTCATCAGAAGTGACAGTAGTAGCATCGTCCTCTTGCAGTCTATGGAAACTTTCCACTTGAGGCAAGATTAGCGTTCCTTCACTTTCTGCCAAACGAACAACACAAGCTAACTGCCAGAGCCAGACCGGAAGCACACATGTATAGCTCTAAGCAGTGACAGAGGCCAAGAGCCAACAGTCGAAATGTATGATCTTTGATTAATAATATTTATATTGTCTGATAGGGTCACACAGAAATTCTTACCAAAGTCTGCCAGCACATTGTCTGCTGGGATACTGCTCCCAAAATCCTCCTGTAGGTGATACGCTCTGTGCAGTAGTGTCTCTAACTTCTCAGCAAACACTTTATTTCGGGCTTCACCCTGTAAAATAAAAAATAATAAAGATACCACTTTAATATTATATAATAAATAACCCAAGAATTAGTTTATTTAGTTAAATTAAACTGGCACTGGGCTCTAATCCAGGAGACAGACTAAGCGAAATTGATCAGCTTTTCTGGAACCGCATCACATTTTATAGTTAAATTTAATCATTTTATTTTATTTTTAATAAATAAAAGTCTTGCAACAGTTTATGACCAGTTCTTTTTTTCTATAATTATTAGGCCGTTGTTTAATGCACTGATGTGTTGCAACAACATCACGTAAAGTATTTGATTATTTCTGCCTTTTGAGGGATAAAAATGCTTTATAAGATTAACAGGAAATCTCAGCTTTAATGTTCCCCAGAGTAACCATTTATATTCTGACCTCAGCCTTCACTGAAAGATGACAGCTCTCCGGCAGCTATAGCAGAGATGATTTACTGAGTTACTTTTCATAGTGAGAGTTCAGTCACAGTCCCACTGTGCAAGTGGACTCCAATGCATATCTGGTTTGGGAAACGACGAAGCTTATGATAGTTGATAAACTGAAGCCAACGATAGCTTCAGGTGGTTTGGAGTCACTCCCATCTTAGACCCACAGAGTGATTTGAGTGATCTTCAGTGGAAAATATGTTGAGGTTCAGACTTTGAATTTCAGACATTGTATCTTTCAAAATGTTGCTTGACATCATTTAATGACTAGCAATCCCACCACACACTGGTAATAACAGTTTAATAGTTACCGTGGTAACGTCTCCACATGTTGCTCCCTGCAGAGCCAGGCTGTTGTTGCTGGATGTTGAGTGGGGTTGATGGCGAATATTCAGTGCCTGTTCCCACTTTCGAAGAGCCTCATCAAACAGCTCCATGCCTAACAGGAAGCGAAAAATTTGATTCAAATCCCAACGTTGTCTGCAGTTTTGCCCCGTCTTAAATGTAGCACACAACAGTTCAATTCACACATGGGCTCAATCAGATTTTTACAGGTTTAGACTAAAACCTGTTGTATGTCGGTCCAATTCATTGAAAGATTTTATTACTCACATAAAGTTCCCCAGTTAATTAAAAGAGAAATTAAAGGCTGCAGTGCATGTGCAAAAACAGTTTTAAGCACATTACTCTTGAGTTGAAAAATAATAGTACTGCACTACAAGTACCAGTGGCACAGAGCTACAGGAACTGGCATTTTTGCATTAAATTGATACGGATTAATATTGGTTGCAATGTAATTATAGATAGCTTGTGCTCTAATGTCAGCATGAAATAGTAAAAAGACCAAAAAAAAAGTGGCTTTACGCTGTTTTTATATTAAACAATAAAAACAACAACAACAAACAAAAAAAACAAAACATGAGTTTTAGTGAATACTTACCCATTAAATAGAGATTCTCTGCATTAGCGTCCTCTACCGCCCCTGACTCTTCCACCACAGGCTCTGCCTCCCAAGGTGTGGATGGATTGGCAGACTGATTTGGAGAGCTTGGGACTCGCATCTAAGCCAGAAATGAGCATCCAAACACATATACACCCAAAGATGGTGAAAAAAATAAATAAATAAGTCAAAGATAAAGCAAACATGACCAAAAAAAAAGTATGAAACTTACAGATGCCAGGCTGTGTGATGAACTTGAGTGTTTACTGGGAGCGAGGGAGGAAATTCCACTCATCGTATCATTGCTTCGAGTGCTGGGACTCATCATCTGTCGACCAGTAAATGGGGCTGTCCCAAAGGAAAAACATTTCCTCACTGAATGTTTCACAGCAACCATTGCTGAAAGACACTAAACAGCGTCCCCCTCCCCTAAAAAAGAAACATAATATTCTGTCTTCACACCTCTCTTTAATGATGAGGGCCGTCCTGTCTTCATGAGCGACTCTGGTATTCCCACTGTCTTCTGGCCATCCTTTTCTTGTGTTCCCTGCTTCCTCTTTCTTCCTCGCCTTTTTAAATGATGAGCAGTGAGAGCTAGAGCCACACTGCCCAGTGCTGTGGCAAACAGCACCTTCTTCAGGCTAGGTGTAAGCCTCAGCTGGGAAAATATGGACTGACAGCAGAAGAAGCAGTGAGGATACGACCAAACATAGTGTACACTCTGTGTGTGCATTTGTATAAAGGTGTTTACCTGCCCAAATGTGGAATAGAGAAAGACGGGTATCTCTGCTACAGTCATGGCCAAAGCCTGAGCGATGGACATCCCTTCTCCTCGTCTCATTGACATCTCAGGAATTATAATGCCTTCAGGCCACAGCAAAAATTAAGTTTCCCCTCTGGTCTGAGATCAGCCAGCTCAGGACCTGCTGATGAACCATCCGTAATCAACCACTCTCTCATCCAGTGGCTAACTGCAGTCTTGTTGTTCTACAACAGATAGGGCACAAGGTTTGTACCTAAGTGTAGGTGCTTCTAACTGCACAGCCATTATAATACCAGCTATTAGTAGAAACTATTTTCACTGTACCACTCTCCAGAAACAAATTTAACTTGTACCGGTTTATGGTTTGACCTGGAAGGAGAGCAGACTGACACTCTGCCAGCTACTACTTAACCAGTCTGGAGTGTCTGGTATGCAAATAGGCAACAAGCACGCCATTCAACATACTGTACGAGACAAAGCCTCACAAAAGATAGTAGTTGTAGCTTCAACATGAGAAACTGGTTGACTTTCTACGTCTCTGAAGCAAACTAGTGTACATAAAGCACAACTATGTTCCATGCAGACTTAAGTTATTGAAAACAAGGCTGCTAGTTGAAAGAACTTTGACAATATGTTAAAGCGAAAGCTAGCTGTTAGCCAGTCCAGGAAGCAGAAGACAGTGATTTCAACTGACACAAATTATTTTAGAGCTTTCCCCATAAATTCAGCAGCAGGGTTTATGTCTTTCTTTAAAGCTCAAGTCAAGGACAGCTAAATATTAGCACTAGCAAAGATGAAACTATCTTTTTAGATGAGCATATGCTAACGTCAGCTAGCTTATTCGGCTAGCCTTATCTGTCAGTCTGCATCATAGCATCACCAGGTCAAGCTGGCTTCAGAGCAAAGTCTGTGAGCTGACACCTCACACACTTCAAGGCGGCTTTGTGTGCAGCTTCCCCAGAGGCACAACTAATAACATAATCCCTGCGTAGGTACATACCGTGATCATCCGAGGCTTCAAGGAAGGACATCCCCGTGTCACAGTCAGTGAAAGTCGCACGGTGGATTCTTTTTTTTCCCAAGGCCCTACGTAGTTAACGCAAGAATACCGACGCGGACACGGGCCAGTCGGGTGAGGTGTGAAGACAGTTACCTATTTCTTGACGAATCAGATAAAAGAGTAGGCGGGGCAAAAACTTTTCTAATCCAATCAGATATTAGTTCTTGAAATATCGTCACTCTATCCTGATCAAACAGAAGGGAAATACTGCTAGAAAGTTCAAGGCGGTGTATATACTTGATAATTAAAAACAATGCTAAAGGGACAGAAATGGGTTACGTTTATTGAATAATTATATTCTTAATTATATGCTAAAGGCCATAACATTGGAGTCAGGCTACCAGAATAGTATAACGAGAAAAAGTATTGAGACGGCGTAGTTTAACCATCTGAAATAATGTTTATAAATTGGGAAAGAAAATTTACGAGGGGTACTGGAACGTCGCATGGACGGCTATTTTAAAGTAACCAAAAGTATTGAGAAGACTGTTTCCGGTTTTGGCATGTTTCTTTCATAATAAAGGAGTGATTACCCTCCGCATGTCTAATGTCATTATATGAATTTAAATACTAACAATAAAAACGTATACCATCATTGTTTATATAGTTAAATTCATAGTTATTATAGTTATTGTTATTACAGTTACAGTTATTTCTGGTAAGTAATGTTTTTTAATCAAGTTTGTTCCGGTGATAGTTTGTTGCGAAATAGTGGCGCCGGAAGCCGTATTCTGTAAAGACGGGCTACGTTATAATTTACAAGGCGGGTCCTAGGAATTGTTTGTAGGGTACTGTGTCAACAAAGCTGGGGAAGAAACGGGCAGCTTGCAGATTTCGGATGATAGTTGATGTAAACATGGTGCAAATAAGACTAGAATAATGTGGTCGGCTACGTGATGAAAACGAAAGTAACCGCACAAAGAAACGGATACTGGAATTTGACAGATCTGGAAAGGCAATTAAAAATCTTTTGATATGGAACCTTTGTGATCATGAATCGACGGTGGCTGACTGGGCATGTCTCTCTCGAGTCGGCGTGAAAAATGAGTGTCGTCCGGGCGATTGGAAGCAGGGGTTTGCCGAAGGCCTTGATATGAACGTTCTGGTAAGAGTCACTTGCTTATTTAACCCATCCGATCGCTAATAATGTGTGCGGAGCTGCACTACCCTAACATTTCCTACATCTTATCCGCCTGTGCAGATGCTTCGCTGGCTTTGCCTGCTCACCCTGAGCCTCCCTCTGTTGTTTTGGGTTGGACATGTGATGATACGGGACGGCCCATCACCTGCTGCGGCTAGGAAGGGACTCGAGGGCTACAAGAGGATCAAGCCCGGCAGAATGGACCAGGTGAGACACAAGGAGGGTAGGGTTACACAAAAAAAAGCTTACAGAGGTCTGGTTCCGTTAGTTCATGGTGACCGTGAAAACTGATAGCCACTCATATTAATTATACAGTGCATTCCTTAACCTAAATAACAAAGGCATGCAACTGTCAGTCTCTGTTGATTGTATTTGTGTGTGTTAGGGTGAAAACCATTACTACAGATCTGTAGTATTTCTGTCAGACTGTGAATACATTTGCATTTCAACAAGACAAAAAGCTAGAGCGTACCACAAAAGAACAAAGGAGTGGCTTTGGAAAAAGTCTGTGAAAGTCCTGAGTTGCACATCCAGAGTCTACAGCTGAACCCAGTAAATAATATAATCAATTACGATTGTTCCCAGCAAGACATGTTTGACCTAAAATTCTGATTTCGTCTATTTTAATTAGCCCAACACAAAACCTTATGAAAGCACATTCTGTAATTACGATGGAATAACAGCTGAGCTATAACCATCCAATTACTGATTTATGTGCACAAACCACAGCCTAAAAAATTCTCATCTTTCCCCTTTTCTCTCCACAGATACTGGACATCAACTGTAGTCAGTGTGCCTTGGTCTCCAGCTCAGGTCAGATGCTCGGAGTTGGCGCCGGAGAGGAGATAGACAAAATCGGGTGTGTGATCCGGATGAATAACGCGCCCACTAAGGGGTTTGAGAAAGACGTTGGGAGGCGCACCACCGTTCGTGTTGTGTCTCACACCAGCGTTCCCCTGCTGGTAAAAAATGAGCAGTATTATTTCCAGCAGTCAGCAGAGACCACATATGTGTTTTGGGGTCCTGAAAGGAACATGAGGCAAGATGGCAAAGGACACATCTTCAATGCCCTCCTGAAAATGGCAAAAAAATATCCAAATGTCCGAATGTATGCTGTGACGAAAGACAAGATTGAGTACTGTGACGGGGTGTTTCAGAACGAAACGGGAAAAAACAGGTACGGTAGGAGTTTAACTCGTAAGTTGTACAAATAGAAAGTGTAGCCATTTACACACTGTATAACTTTGTTCTCTAATTCAAAATATTAAAGGTGAAAATATAATTTACCCATTTCAGCCTTAAATCAACTCAGTTAAATCTTGATACCTTACTTTAAAGGAAGTTATTGTGAATTCTTGTGTTCAAAGTTTAAGTTTTTCTTAAATGAATTACAGTTAGAATGTGAGGAAATAACTGCTATAACCTGAACTCCAAAAATGTGAGCGTCAGAGAGAGATCAATTGAAGCTGGGCTTGGGCTGGGTTCTATGTAATACCATTTTTTACCACAAGGGGGTGAAGCTACTCAGTGTTCCCATTGTTTAATCAGGTCAGTCATTTACTGAGGACGTTCTTTACACAATGACAGCCTGGCTACTGGCAAAACCTCTTGAGGAAATGAGGGTCTCTAAAAAGAAATACAGTGGAGGAAATAAAAATAAGTAATCCAGTGTGGGATTTGTGTAAACATGGTGACCAACTACACAAAACATCTTACCGCTGTGTTTGCCAACAAGGGTTTCTCCACCAAGTACTAATTCATGTTTTGCTTAGTGATCAAATACAGTTCACTCCATAACATGCAAATCAATTTCTAACTTTAATGTTATGTGTTTTTCTTTCTGGATTTGTGGTTGATATTCTGTCTCTCTCCATCAAAATGAAACTACCATAAAAATAGAGGCTGTTCTCTTTCTTTTGGAAAATGAGCAAACCTACAAATTCAACAGGAAATTAAATAATTACTTCCCTCTTCTGTACAGTGTATAAACAGTTATGATCTAATGTGTAGATTATGACTGGTGCCAGTTGTAGGATTTATTTTTGAATTTGTAAGAATTTGCAAAACTTTTTTTGGAAGAACAAATATTCTGTGTTTCGCACTCAGAATGAAAACTGGGGCGTTTCTCAGCACTGGATTCTTCACAATGATTCTGGCCATAGAAATGTGCGACAGCATCCATGTTTATGGAATGATTGATGACGGCTACTGCAGGTGAGATTATGATCCATAATCAAGCTCCATCTTTTTTTTCTATGTGTGTATATATTCTATGTACATACAGTGGCTTATTACTATCTTTAGTGACCTACTGTTTCCCTCCTGTCAACAGCCGAGCCAATCACAGTGTTGTTCCCTACCATTATTATGAACAAAACAGAATCAATGAGTGCAAGATGTACAAGGTCCATGAGCACACCCAACGTGGAGGCCATCGCTTCATCACTGAGAAAGCCATCTATGCCAAATGGGCAGCACGCCACAGGATAGAGTTTAAACACCCCTCCTGGATCCTCTGAAGAATGAGATTAAGCTTTATTGGTAACAAATGATAATGGCCCCTCGGTATTGCAGAGATCAGTAGGACTACAAGAAAAAAACATATTAAAACACAACACCATAAATTAAAACCTGTCAATACCAAAGCTGCTTTTAGATTCTTTATAACTGTGCCTTGACTTTTGCTCTTTTCTGCACAGTTTTTTTTACTTCATGCTTCAATCTGGCCTGTGTAATATAAAGCTGCAATTATATACATTTCATTTGAGACAGAAAGTGCATTATAATTATATACACAGACTGTATATAAAAGATATACCTAGCTAAAAAAAGCTAATGTTCTTTAAAGGTGCTTCATTTCAAATGGCCAGCAGGGGGCGACCCATCTGGTTTCATCTGGTTTAATAGAAGTCTACACGAAAACAGCCCTTCAACCCTTGTTATGAGTTTGTGGTCTCAGTTTCAGGTTTTACTGAATATAACATGTTGATTTTATAAATTATATTCCTCAGAGTCAAAACAGACAGTAATTAGATTAAGCTTTACTTTGTGGTTTCTCATTAAGAACCTCACTAACCAATGGGTGTCATGATGACTATGCCATCATGGCCATCTTTTATATACAGCCTATAGTTATGTAGGGTCACAATTAGGTTAATGCTGCTTTTGAATCGATAACAAATTGTCAGAAAATAACTGGCACTTACTTTACCATCACAGAAATCTAAACACGCATAAGATAGTGGCATTTTAGCATTTTTGTATGAAAGATAACTTATTATAAGAAAGTCAACCACCAGAAAATCCAGCTGATTAGAACAAATAATGACTAATCCCTTCAGCTCTTCTATTATTGTTTTACACGCTCTTGGTCCATGATCGTGATCAAAAGATGACAATGCCGATTCAGCATTAAAGCACAGTTGAGGTAATAGTGTATTTATGGCCTCGGGACATTTTAAAAGGAAAGCTGTTTTCAGACAAGCCTTTGTGTTGCATTTCATTTGAACTTTTTCAACAAATAAGCATATTTGAGCAACTTGAAGTTGGTGTTTATTTCTGTAAAAACCTCTTGCTGTTATGCTGTAAGCTCTCTACTGAAAGCTTTATGCTTGCATTTGTTGCTAACACAGTAACTGTAACAATATGGGCGAGTTACAGTGTTAAAATGCTCGAAGTGGCAACATTTCATTGAATGTGCATTAACGTGTTCAGGTCTTTCTGTGGTGCCGTTGAACTTGTGATTCTGCAGTTTGCTGTTTTCACATCTGCTTTGGTGGCCACATACTCGCTCACACTCACGGAAACTGAAAAAACCCTTTAGGGTGTGTGACAAAATGTTACATTTGAATGAACAATTGTGAGCAAAGGAAGACTCATTGTCTTGTTTTAATACTGAATTTCATCTTTAAAGTTTTTTACCATTTATATTTTGCTGCCTGTTACTATTA